AGATGTATTCTTTAGAACTTTATTCAGTTTTGCTTCTCCAGGACCAATCACTCTCTTATGATGACACAAACTACTTTTCAAAACCATCTTAAATAAAAACATACAACAAGGAAACACTGAATAATTTATGGATATGAAGCCAAGAAAAATGGCAGTCCTGAAAGTTTTTTTTTTTTTCAATTACTACCTCCAACAACACTCACCAGCTTAAACACACACACACACACACACACACACACACACATACATACACAGCCACATTTGATCAGGTATAAAATTGTCCAGGCCTAAACTGAATTGTAGGCCTTGAGGAAAGCTTAACAGCCATCTCTTTATATTCAATGTGTTTGTTGTGTTGGGGAACTTATGAATGCTATATTTAGCAATTTGATCATTTACTTTTAAAATATGGGTTTTCCCTAAAACTTTAGAAGAGATTGTGAATTCTATCTTGGTTACCTTTATATTACATTAACAGAAGACTGTTAAGTCAGTGTGGGGATTGGTTATTCAGTCAGCAAGTTCAAGAGAATAAATATGTTTCAATTCCCATCTATTATATCTGCAACTTTGTAATATGTATGCTTTTGTTTATAGTAATCATATTATTACTATTATTTGTGACATGTTGATCTCTGAATTTTTTAAGAGACCACTTCTCAAAGTATTAGAATTGAAGACTTACACTGATAGTTTTGAGCATTTATGACAATCTGTTAAAAGCTATAGATTTTCCATATGTTTAGGGAGACATTTCCCCATCATTGCTAGGTTAATACCTCTGAATTAAATCATGAAACACCTGCAGTTCATTGGAATTGAAATCACAAAAAAAAAATTGTTTTCACACAGTCCAGTTTGCAATATGAGCAGGGGAACAATTTGGGTATGAAGACACACAGTATGTAAAGAAATTAAGCTATATTTCTAATACTCTAACAAAGCAATATAAACCATCACTGTTGTGGTTACTAGTTGATATCTTACTCCCTGGATCATTTTGCTTTCTTTTCTTTGTTGCCTCTCTTTTCATTAGAGAAAACCAGATGTCTACCTTTCTCCTTAGATGAGGAAATTATTCCAGGGATGGGTCCCAAGCTAGAAACCCCTTGGCATGTGCATGCTCTACTAGACCTTTTTTTCCCAGGAGAGGACTGCTTTGTTGCTGCTCATCCCCCAGCCTCTCTGATCACAATCTAAGTCCTTACCTCAGAGGACTAGCTGGGGTCAGGTGCCAGAGAATCAAGTCTGCTCAGTATGGACACACTATGTGCCAATCAGCATCTGTCTGTAACTCAGCATTATACCCAGCCTAAAACAGAAAGGAAAAGGGGTGGGATTTGCATACAGAGTGTTGGAATCATGACTCTTCTCCTAGCTGTGTGATGAGATTTGATTTAGATCTTTTCATTTTGGTACTTATCCTAAGGCCTGCAATGGATTTTCTAGAAATCTGATACTCCCTTCTTTTTGGAGACTTTTGGAAACCCCTTGGTTCCAAGTCTGCCTGGAAAGCCTGGACTGAAAGGCAAAAAGGCTCAAGAGTGGCTGATGATAGTCCTGCCTGTATTTCCTTCTCCACACTCTACTCTTCCTTCTGAGATCTTTTCATAGGTGGTAGTAATTCAGTCTGGTAAGGAATCTGTAACCCATGGATTTGACAGAAAACCAAAATAATAATTGCTAACTCTCTAGATAGTCATCTGGTTGTAGGGGGAGGTATAAAAGCTGGAACAACCCCTAGGATCAGGATGGTGGATATTGGATCTTGTTCACAGGTGACTCACACACAAGTGAGGATTTCAGGTCTGTGGTAGTTGTCTTCAGTAGCATCCCATTTTGTTAGCCACTGTAGAAGTCATACTCAGAAACTATTAAGCCAGCTGACTACAACCCAAATCCTGGAGAGGAAATGAATGTACACAAAACTGAAAGAATGTCCAGCTTACAGTTGAATTCCAATAGAGGAGCAACTGGAAGTTAAGATCTCTCAGAGAGAAGGTTTTAGACTTGAGAAAGGTAGGTTAAACCATAACAACAATAGTACTAGCAGCAGGAACAACACTAAAAAACAGCTAGCATTTATTGAGAAAGAGGAAAAGCCACAAAGAGAAAATGGTAATCAGGAAGTAACCACAGCAGCTGGAGCCTGGAGCTTCTCCTCACAGGTTACAAAATTATCCATCCCATGTGTCTCTGGCTTTCCCAGGACCAGCCTAGGAAGCTGTCACTCAGTTATCACGTGATGAATCAACTGTAAAAGGGTGAGGAACAGAACCAAACTGATATTGCCATATGTAATTATAAAAAAAAAAAAGTACCCCCCCACCCCGCTCCATGAACCTTTATCCAGAGCAGCATGTGTGACCCTTTTTGACTCACTAAGATGTATAAATAAAATGAAATAAATTACCAGTTAAGATTACCTCTTGTTTTCTTTTTAAACCCAAGAAGCATAGTTCTTCTGATAAAAAGAAAAATGGGAGGAAGAGAGCTAACAGCCCTCTAAAAATTGTGTTTTCCCCGTCCACCCAACATTTCTGTTTGCCTTTGATGTACAAGTAGCCAAGTTTATCCCTTAGAAAGTTGTTAAAAGTTGTTATTCTTGACAGTAAAACTAGATAGTGCAATACATCTCCATAAAGTTCCATTTTCTGCCTCCATCAACCCGCATGGCATGGCCCCTTCCGGAAATCTCCTGGTGGGAAATTAATAAGTTTAGGGAAAAGTCTCTACCATCTGCTTCCTGCTTCATTGGCATCCTCTTGTTTTCCAAATGCATTTTCTCTTTCACCATGATTTTTTTTTTTTTTTTACAACTAAGCCTTTGTTGGTGTTGTGCTTTGGAAATAGGATTAGTAGGGGATGGACGGAGACCTAGAAAGGGAGAGAGAGAGCGCGAGAAAACAATATATTTTCATTCTCATATGGCTATAATCCTAGTGAGTTATGTAGGCTTCACCTGCCTCATGTCACAGAAGTTCAGCTATTTGGGGGCCCATTTGTCCACACTGGGAGGAGAAACCGCACTTCCATTCTAATAGTCTCTAAGAATCAGATTTCATTTCTTAGTCTTTCTCCACCCTCTCACTTAAGTCATAAAAGGCACCACCTCGGGAATCATTTATCAATCTCCAACCTTCCTTTCCAAAACAATACTGTAGTTGTCTACCCGTGTATTTTTGCCATAACTGCATGAAACCTTGCTAAAGTAGAATGAGGTGAACATATTCTCACTCTTCCTTGTCATCCCTCTAATCATTTAATTGGAAATGAAATCCCAGGGAAAAGAGAGCCAAATGCATGCATAAACTCATTGTTCCATGTGAAGTAGATAAAACTATTGACTGAGATGCATTTTTATAGTACTGTCTGAGGCTGAATAAGTGCCTCAACCCTTCATTTAGTATCAGTGAATTCCAGTAAGTAATAATGCAGAGTGATTTCCAAGTAGTTTTTGGCCCATAAGTTTCTAGAAAATGATAAGTAATTTGCTCCTATTAATGATTGTCATGGAGACAATTATATTACCAAGGAAAATATGTACCATGAAATACTGGGGGAAAAAAAAAAAAAACCCAACAACTTCTAAATAGGAATTTTAAGTTTAAAATGGGTAGGCTTTTGTTTTGTGTTTCACGACACACGTATTACCTAAGACAGATTGTTATAAATTCTTTAATTTAGGAATTTATTTATTTTATTAATTTTGGCAATCAATGGGGGAAACTAAAGAGGGGGCAGAAACATGAAAGTGAGAGAAAATATCAATGGGTGGCCAGATTCTTAACATATCTTTCCCCTCTTTAATGCAGCATCTTAGTCATGTCCGAGCTTGAGATTTGGAAGGTAAAACTATACCATCCTCAATTTACTCTAGGTTTCAGTACCTCAACGGAGATTTATATCCTATATTCAAGAAAGGAAAGGCCAGGGGGAAGAAAAATGCCTCCTACTTGAAGTTAAAGTTTTTCTAAATGCTCACATTCTGGAATGACTACTTTTATATTTACATATATAAGAGAATTTCAAAAGTGGCTTTCATGGGCAGATGACTTTTCCTGGGAGAGGGAAATTTCTTATAAAAAAGCAAAAGAAGGCACTAAGAGGGTTCTGTTCAACAGTTTCATGGAATTAGGTTTAGGGCCATTACCCGCCCAACCCCCCCAGCCCACCCTCTTACACTTTGCTTGCATCAGACTGTATTGCTAAAGGACCACAACTATCTCGTGGCTACTTCCTTATCATAACTTGTTGTTGCTTACTCTTTCCTTTTCTTCTCTGAATTCACTTTAAGTGTCTGACCACTATTATTCAGCTGTCAGTTTACAAATATTTGAGGCAATTCTTTGACATTTCTAATTTCCCACACTTAGGAAAATGGTGATTAGAGGAGAAGGGGTGTGGAGAAAAAGAGAGAAATGAATGAAGCAGCCAGTCGTTAAACAATTGGCTAACTACAGTTGCAGATTCTTATATAGGGATATGTGAGCGCCCTCAGCCTTGGCCGTGGGTCCCCTTTAGCCAAACTAACTGCACACATGGCATAAGAGAAATGATAGTGTAAGATGCAAGAGAACTGCAGTCGAAGCAGCTCTCTTTGAAAAGTCAGTAGCAAACCTGGAAATTAAGGGCAAATCCCTGCTTCCACTCAATATATGGGGGTTTTGCAAGGCAAGTCTCCTTGAGAGTCCCAGCTTAATCCTAGGCAGAGGCAGAAGGACTCAGAATTTATGGGGGCGGGGGTGGTGCTGTCCAGGGTTCGATGAAATCAGGAGAGAGAGAAAGAGAGACCCCAAGGAAAAGAGAACTCAGTGGGAAGTTCCCCATATATATATATATATATATATATATATATATATATATATATATTTTTTTCATTTCTACTCAGCAATATCCTTCCTTCGCCTCCCTGGATCGCAGGCACCGCTGCGGAACGATGTTTAGTGCCTGATTGCCCCTCTGGGTTCCGGAGGGAGATCTTAGAGCTGCGAGAGGAACAAACTAACACCGTAAATGCCTTTTCCTTCTACGGGAAGGCTCTTTATCAAACCCCCCACCCCTTCATTTACCTTATTTCATTACTGGATAAAAACGTAGTTGTCTCCTTCTTAAGCCGTGGTTTTGCTTCGACTAGCGATCCAATTTACCCTAAAGTTATCAGATTGCCCTCTGCAATGCACGGCTAGGCGGGGCCGAGGGAGTGGGCATCGATACCATTCATAGGCCTTTCTTCCTTTAGGAGTAAAGAGTTGAATGGCAAAAAAGAGCCTCCGCGAAAAATGTGTCGCAGCCCCAGTTGAAGGAGTCAACGTGCAGGCTGTTAAGGACCTCAAGTCATTAGCATCAGCTGCTTCACTAAAGGGGTAAGCCAGCGCCTCTAAGTGGCATAACGCACAAACGAGGCTCCCGAGACCGCGATGGAAGCTCCATCCACTCATCCACCACCCGCTGGCTGTGAAAGTCTCCCCGCAGCCCATCTTGGTAATCATTTTTTACTTGGATTCACCCGCACGCCCTCCGCCACCCCGAGGTTTTAGAATCCCGCTGCTCTCAACGTGGACCCACTCCAGGACTACGCAGAACATGCCAGGTAGAGGGAGGAACAGTTTTGTGTCCGGTAAACTGGATTCTTCCCACTCATCTCCCCTCACCCCTTCCCCGCCCGGGTACTTGTGTCCCGGGACCAGAAGACCCCTGGAACCCCTTTTCCGAGGTCTGGCAGCGCCCCCACTCCTTTCCCCTTACCCCAAGTCCAGGTCCAAGTGTAGGGTGAGCCAAGTTCTCACCAGAGCGCATCCTTTCCGAATCTTGAGCGGAGCGGCTTGGTGGAACGAGCGCTCCAAGAGAGAGCCGGTGTGGCGTATCACCCCCAGGCAACTAGCTGCGCAAACCCACAGCTGCTCAAAGGCCAGAGAATCGCTCTGGTTTAATCCGCAGCCCCGATCCCTTTCACAGAACTTAGACTTGGGGAAAAGCGTGCGGGTTTCGTGAGCGCGCTGGGTGGCCAGCTCTCTGCCAAAGGTTCTCCAAGTGCCAGGACAAACGAGAGAGGCCCTTTCCGATTTTTTTGTTACTTCTCTTTCCGACCCTGAAATGATCTTCCCCTTTTAATAGCCCCAGAGGGCCCAAGGTTTAGAAAGAGGCGGGCGGGCGGGGTGGCACTCAGAGAGGTTTTGCCACTTGGACAAGGCGCTCAGGACCTGCGGGGCTCAGGGAGGCCTGAGAGACCGCAGTGAGGCTGGCGGCGCCGGAGGGAGCGCCCAGACCAGCAAAGAGTTAAAGGGAGGGGACGTGGGCTGTCACGCGTCATTGGGCAGATTATGTGCAGCAAACAAAAAGTGTGTGTCTGCGTGCCAGTCAGTCACTGCATCGGGTCCATCTGTACAACTCTCTCCTCTCTCTCTCTCTCTCTCTCTCTCTCTCTCTCTCTCTCTCTCTCTCTCTCTCTCTCTCTCCTCTCTCCTCTCTCCTCTCTCCTCTTCTCCCCCTCATCTGTCTCTCATCTCTTTAGGCTGAGCGTAGACGACAGCAACACCAACACCTCTTGACATGGAAATACACTGATACAATAGACGAGAGAAGCACGGGATTGCCTCTCCCGATTTCAGGTGGCCTTATCTGGGCGATTCAATCCTGATCATAATCCTGGTAAGTCTGTTCGCTCTGATGTGGGAGGGGGATGGGAGCAAGACAGGTTTGGTGAGAGAGTAAAAGAAATAAAATTATCCTCTGGCTCCTCATTATACAGGAGAGGGGGCAAATAATTTTTGAGAGGCTCTCTGCTATCAATAAGATTATACAAAGGGAGGAGTGGATGGGGAGCACTCTGCCGGGAGAGCGAGCGGCTGGGGAGCGCGCGGCCACCAAACAATGCCTGCCTACGGGGGATGCTTAGCTGCCGGCTGCGGCGGGTTTTTGGCGAGTCTAGCCGGCTTGAGTAGGATCGCGGGGTTGCAAAAGAACCCGGGGCTCCAGAGGAGCGTGCTGATCTGTGAAAGACTGGGTGGCAAAGACGGCCGCGCGCGGGATGCCCAGGCTGTCGCGCAGCGGTTATTGTAACCGGCTGGAGGCTCGTGGCGGAGGCCGCAGCGACGCGGGCCCCTATTAGCGCGGCGTAGCGAGGGTCTTTTCACCGTATTGTTAGGTAGAACTGCATTTTAATGATTGCGTCCCTGCTGTTGCCCGAAGTGATGGGGCGACCTCCCGGCACAATGAAACGCTTGTGTGAAAGATACTTTTAAAGAAAGAGAGAAATTGGGGCATAAAACGCTGAATTGAGGAAAATGAAAGGAGAGAATAGGGTTCTGTTGAAAAGAAGAGGAGAGATTCTGAAGGTTTTTTTTTTTTTTAATGTCTTTAAATTTGCATTTGGACATCAGAAAGTCTACACTGTGTGGGGTACAAATGTCCAGGGATAGATGTTACAGCAAAAAAGTTTTTGCTTTGCAGATATTTTCTCTTATATAGATCTGGCAGATATCACCCCATACTTGACATTTGGGGGATGCAATAGGGTGAATGGAAAAAGAAGCTGATCAAAGTTACAAGCTCTGTTAGTTGGAAAGGGGGGAGAAAAAGCACTATCTTGCAATTACATTTGTAAGATTAATTGGTTAACAGACATTAAGATAAAATGGACATTACTAATATTATTCCGTAATGAACAGCTTTGCAGGAAAAGAATTAGGTCTACTCCTTTTGCTACCTCAATTATACACTACAGGCAGCAAATTACTGCCTATGGCAATATTATTAAAGAAAAACCAACTTGGGAGGGGGGGAGAGATCTTTTTCTCAGCCAGAAGGAGTGAATGGTATAATTCAAAGCCAATTTTTAAATCTAAATACTTGTTTTCTTAAAATAAGTCCTGCAGGGGGTGTCCAGTGGCAAAGGAAAGACAATATCTATTTATGACAGCTTAGTAAAGAGCCCTCCATCAGAGAATTACTTTCTAAATTGCTTTGGATTAAACAGCTGGAGAGCCCACCAAGGTCTACTCAAACAGAGCTGCCCCCTCTTACCAGGACCAGTCCTATCTGGTGGAGCAAGAATTTACCAGTCATTACGTAGTTGGCATTTCAGACAGGGGGCACTTCAGGCTGTTGGCAACCGCCAAGAGGCCAGTCCTATACCTGCTCACTTCATAAGGCACATGTGACTCAATCCACCCCCTTGTATAACAAGGTAACTGGGATTCACTCTCCTCCATAAATAAGCATGTCGAGAAAAAAATAATTACCTCCACTTGCTGCTTTTAATTAAAGCCTCGGAGGGACAGTGCTGGATTATGGTAATGAGCAGACATACGTCCCTTCTTGTAGGCTACAGAGAAGGTTAGCTCACACGGAATCAGTGGCCCTGACACTCCACTTGAAATCCATTTGCCATGCTCTGCTTTCTCTGCCTGCTCACGAATGCTGATCCCCTTTCGGAAGAAAAATCAAATCACACACAGACACCCACCCACCCCCTCCACACACATCCCAAACACCACCACCACCAGGATCAGTACATTGATGAGCTGAGAGAATCTTTCTACCAAAGGTTAAAAGTTTCTTTCAGTCCTTAAAGTCTAGTTTTAAAAAAAAATCTATTGTTTTCTGTTATTCTCATCCCCCAAATTCTGCCCACCCTCCTCCTAGGTGGTGCAAAACCAATTTCCTCTTTCCTTAGCCTATGCTTTCTTTTCTCCTAGCAATCAGTCCACTCTGAACTCTCAACGTTCCTATTATTCCTATTATTTTATTTTAAAAGAAAATGACAGTGCTTCCCTAGTTGGCATCTTCAAAATGTGTCAGATTTAATCTACTACTGGCTTTATTTCTGAAATGAGCTATGAGAATTCAAGGAAAATCTGTCTCATAAGTAAAATGTTCTCCCTGGATTCATAGAGGCAAAAGGAGTAATGTAACTCGCTTCATTGTCCTGTGTATCTGTCTCTAGTGATGGAGGATTCAGGCATCCAGCGAGGCATCTGGGATGGAGATGCCAAGGCTGTCCAACAATGTCTGACAGATATTTTTACCAGTGTTTACACCACCTGCGACATTCCTGAGAATGCTATATTCGGTCCCTGCGTCCTGAGCCATACCTCCCTGTATGACAGCATAGCTTTCATAGCTCTCAAGTCCACTGACAAGAGAACAGTCCCCTATATCTTCCGGGTAAGTCTTGGCCAATGCTACTTAGGGTATGAGGGTCATGTCCTGTTGAAAATAGACTACGAATCATTCTAATGACAAGCTGAGAGAGGTTCTGAATGTGGCAAATGCTATAATGGGAGCTATCCTATTTTACACACCAAGAATTAGGAAAGGAAAATTAAACTCAAATTATTGTCAGTTGATTTTCTGGATTAAATGAAATTTGATTTTGAATGCCAGATACACGTCTAAATCAGAGACTCTATTCTGGGCTTTCCACGTCATGAACACAACTCCTTATCTCTTTGGGAGATTTCACTAAGGTTGAGTCTGTTTGCATATAAAAGACATGCTTTAAGTGTTTTTTTAAATAAGCACTGGGTATATTTGCTTTCCAATCTAGGAGGCCAACTCTCCCCTTAAATTTTACCCTTTTTGGTAATGCTAGGTAGTGCTAAGAGTTTGTATTGAAATAAAAATGTCAATGTTTGAGTTTGAAGAGAAAAACCCATTAAACCCATATGTTTGAGCTTGAAGATAAAAATCCTCTCACTTCCTAGTCTTTCTTTACAAAGAAAATTATTAATTGCTCAAGCCAAAATTAGGAAGAGGAATGAGCATCATGGAATATGTCTAGGATCACAACTTGCGTTTTTATGTCCAAAACCAATAAAACTCCCCATACTTTTATCATGTGGGATAATTTAGATGTAAATCTGCAAGAAATTAACACTAATTTGAGTTGTAAGGAGGAATTTCCTAATTTGGAAATATATTCGGCCAATATATGAAAACCACGACTTGCATAATCTATACGATCGATACAGCATTTCAAAGACAGTTGTCTTGCCTGCTGGTTACAAACACGAGGATGGGTGACAACCTGGATCAAGTTTGTGGAAGTCTGATGTCAGATAATTCTTTGGAAAAAATGGAACAGATGCAATGGTCCTGGTTCCTCTGGCTCCAGCTCTCATAAGGGTTTCCCCCAAACCTCCACCCCTGACCGTCCTTCTTGTTTTTTCTAAACTGTAGGTAGACACTTCAGCGGCAAATGGTTCCTCAGAAGGTCTTATGTGGCTGCGGCTGGTCCAATCAGCCAGAGATAAAGAAGAGCAGAATCTCGAAGCCTATATCAAAAACGGACAGCTGTTTTACCGATCTCTCCGCAGGATTGCCAAAGACGAGGAGTTGCTAGTTTGGTACGGGAAAGAACTGACTGAGTTGCTCTTACTCTGCCCCTCTAGATCCCACAGCAAAATGAATGGTAGGTTGGCTCGTGACCTGCGTGTGGGCCCTTAGATAGCGGGAAAGTGACACCGGGAGCGGCAGGAACTCATTCTGGGGGGTCGCTTAGGAAGCCTCTGAAATACAATGCTTATAGTCCTGAATGAAGCTGGGACTGATAGAGGAGGGTAAATCGGGGAACACTTGCTTGATGACTGTACTCCCTCCACCTCCCTCTCTCTCCCCCAAGTCTGGAGGGAAAGTTAGACCAGGTCGGACAGGGTGTTCTCTTCTCGGGCACTTAAGTCCTGAGAGATGCAGGTGGATTTGTAAAGGGGGTGATGGCAAACTGGAGACGAAGCTGACTAATCATGTGGCGTGCGTGTGTGTGGTGTGTGCGTGTGTGTGTGTGTGTGTGTGTGTGTGATGTTTGCTCACTAAGCAGGGTCGTCCCCTTACACATGCCTGGAATGCAGCCAACGTTTCCAGTTTGAGTTCCCCTACGTGGCGCATCTGCGCTTCCGCTGCCCCAAGAGACTTCCCAGCGCGGATCTGAGCCCTCCAGACGAGCAGGGCGGTGGCGTGGGCACCAAGGACCACGGGGGCGGCGGTGGTGGCAAGGACCAGCAGCAGCAGCAGCAACAGGACGCACCGTTGGGTCCGGGGCCCAAATTCTGCAAAACCGGCCCCATTCACCACTACCCGGCGCCCTCTCCCGAGGGCAGCAATCCGCCTTCGGTTGGCGGCGGTGGCTGCAGCGCGAAGCCATCCACGGATTTTCACAACCTCGCCCGGGAGCTGGAAAACTCCGGGGGCGGCAGCAGCTGCTCCCCAGCGCGGAGCCTCAGCGGCGGCGGCGGCCACCAGGAGGCGGAGCTGAGCCCCGAGGGCACCGCCACTGGCGGCAGCAAAGGGAAGAGGAAATTCCCCGAGGAGGGGGCAGAGGGCGGTGGCGGCCCGGGGCTGGTGGGGGGCCGGGGCCGCTTCGCCGAGCGGCCCCTGCCCGCCTCCAAGGAGGACCTGGTTTGCACGCCGCAGCAGTACCGCGCGTCGGGCAGCTACTTTGGCCTGGAGGAGAGCAGCCGCCTCTTCGCGCCGCCCAGCCCCGAGACGGGCGAGGCGAAGCGCAGCGCCTTCGTGGAGGTGAAGAAGGTGGCCCGGGCGGCCGGGCTGCAGGAGGACGCGCCGGCGGACACGGCGGGCACGGCCGCGGAGGACCCGGACACGGGCGGCGGCGCCTCCACGCCGGTGGCCGCGTCGCCGGTCGGCGCAGAGAAGCTGCTGGCCCCGCGCCCCGGGGGCCCGCTCCCCGGCCGGCTAGAGGGTGGCAGCCCCGCCCGGGGCAGCGCCTTCACCTCGGTGCCGCAGCTGGGGGGCGTGGGTGGCACCAGCGCAGGGGGTGGAGCGGGCGCGGGGGCGGCGGGCGGCGCGGGCGGCGGGCAGGGCGCGGCGTCCGACGAGCGCAAAAGCGCCTTCTCGCAGCCCGCGCGCTCCTTCTCGCAGCTGCCCCCCTTGGTGCTGGGCCAGAAGCTGGGCGCGCTGGAGCCGTGCCACCCTGGCGACGGCGTGGGCCCCACCAGACTCTACCCCTCCGCCGGTGACCCTTTGGCCGTGAAGCTCCAGGGGGCAGGGGACCTGAACGGCGCTTGCGGGGCCCTGCCGAGCGCCGGCGGGGGGCTGCCCAAGCAGAGCCCCTTCCTCTACGCCACTGCCTTCTGGCCCAAGAGCTCCGCTGCTGCCGCGGCTGCGGCCGCTGCGGCTGCGGGGCCCCTGCAGCTGCAGCTGCCCTCGGCGCTCACCCTGCTGCCACCCTCCTTCACCTCGCTGTGTCTGCCCGCCCAGAACTGGTGCGCCAAGTGCAATGCCTCCTTCCGCATGACCTCCGACCTGGTGTACCACATGAGGTCGCATCACAAAAAGGAGTATGCCATGGAGCCCTTGGTGAAGCGGCGGCGGGAGGAGAAACTCAAGTGCCCCATTTGCAACGAGTCCTTCAGGGAGCGCCACCACCTCTCCAGGCACATGACCTCGCATAATTGACACGGAGAGGATGGACCCCAGGTCTCCAGGCACGCACAAGCACAGACAAGCCACCTACAGGAACAAGCACCAGGACCTCCACCACTTCCTCGGGACCGCTGCACCCAGAGATAGACGCACCCATGCATACAGCTACACACGGCGCCCCTTCTCAGTCACACGTCTGCCCAAGACCTATACACACACGCGCACACGCACGCACACACACGCACGCACACACACGAGACAGAACGGTGGGTTAGATTGGGTGGGTAGGGGTTTTCTTTTGAATGCACGCATTTTCACTTTCCCAAAAGCAAAGGTACATTTTTTAAAATGTCATATATTGCAACATATTGATGCATTTGTCATACGTTTCTACTTAAATTATTAAGCACTTACGGTTTAGATGTAATAATTATATGTAAGGGCAAAATTTATTTTAGATATAAAGTTAAGGAGGGTGAGATGCTTTCTGCATTTCTTGATGACAGATTGTGTTCTTACAAAAATAAACAAAATGAATAAAAAAAAGGGGGTTACGTTCATTAAGTTTCCAGGGGGAAGTGCATGTATCATGAAATGATTATGGACTTCAATGAAGAATGTTATCATTATGTAAATATGTATTTCCTTTTAATACAAAGTGTAATTTTTGTGCCAGTGAAATGGAGTCTGAATAGCTATGTGTTTCTTTTATCCCTGGAAAGATTTATTAAACTTTATAGATTATCCGGGTATGTTGGATGCTTTGACAATAAATAACTATTTTCTTCAAAGCAACTATTTGGAAAGTGTTTTAATTTTTTTTTTTTTTTGTAGCAAAAGACTACACCTTGAGTAGATACCATGTATTTTCACTGAATTCTTGAAAAGTAACAAAGAGAGAGAAGGGAAGGGTATTAAACCATGTCCCCATTTGCATATTTAAGCCAATTTTGAGACTAAATGAAAGAGGTCAAGGTTTGTTTGCCATTTGGAAAATCTGGAATGTGTTGGGCTTTGTGATCAATGGACAAATCATTTATTGGATAAAGATGCCTGCTACGTAGCTAACCTGTTACTGAGATATCAGCATTTTTTTCAGCAAAAGGGTAATTAACATCTTCACAAGTGGCCAGACAACAATTTTCAGGCCTAGTTCAGAGAGACCAGATGAAAAACTCAATTTAGTTTCTAGTGATGCCACATGGAAAAGTTCTTGGACTCTAAAACTCTTCAGCTTTTAGCTATTGCCCTTTGAAAGACCCTATGGAGAGTTTTTCTAGAAACCAAGGTGAAATGGCCACAGTATCTATGCACTGCAGTGTGCAGCTTTCCTTCTGAAGACCAGATCAGCTGCCCACCCTCTGCTGAAAAAAATTAGACCTGGAACATTAAGATACAGAGGCACCTGACAACTCCCCTCCTCTCCCTGCTCTTCCTATGAAAACTCCCTCTTAACTTTTCATATGTGACAATTCTTAGCTAAATAGTATTCCCATGTAGATGTATGTGCAATGTCCAACAGTCATTAGATGCCAAACCAAAAGAACAATCATCCTTTAGGTTTTAGGGCAGCATGAGCTTAATCTTCAGAGTCACTATGGTTCAACTATAATAGAAACTCAGCTGTTTTATTGCCACAGGGGGTGTTCTTTCCCACCTTTCCCTCTTTCACATCCCTCCATGCCTCCCCTATGCCAGAAAGGAAACTTATGAAAAGGTCTGAAGTGGCCAACTTGAACAAGGTCTCATTGAGCATTCAGTAAGAATATTTTAAAGCCTTTATTATCTTAAGGTGACTAAAGGACATGTCATGATTATGGAAGAAAGTCGGTGAAGACTAGGTGAAGACCAGGGATAAGACAAAGAAATATATCCATAATGTCACCCATGATGGTGGAAAAAGTAGGTTGGCTTTGTTAATTATGATGATCCAAGTACTTTTTTGTGCTACATTTCCATGGCCTGCTCTTATTTTCCTAGGCAATAATTGCATGATCTGACACACTAATCTCCAGCAAAGTATGATGAGGAGGATAGTTCAGAATTTCATTTTGAGCTGTTATTCAGAATCATGTGATCTTGGAGATCATCATTGGCATCATTTGAAATACTTGCATCTTGCTTTTCTTGTCTTTAAAGTGAGTGTGGCAAGTTCCCCTATCTTTAAAGTATGTCTTGCACTGAGGACCTGCCATTATTTAATGGGTGGATGAGGCTCCAATTAAACCTAAAGGGGGCTTTCTAAAGAAAAAATCAAAATTGGTGGTGAATCAAATTGATGGCAAGAAGTGAGGAAGGTATTTGAGGGCAAAGGGGAAGATGGGCTTCAAGAGATCTTTAAATCACAGTACCCAAGAGAAGCAACTAAATTGTCCATGCAGGGACTCTAGGGGGTTTCTGGAGCAAAGAATTCCTTAAAAACAAACCAACCCAGTTTGCCAAGGGCACAACTTTCAAAACAAAACCAAAAAAGAACAGAAAAACAAGCGTGCATACCCTATCCTTTCTCTTCATTCCTTCCAGAACCTCTGTTTCATTATGGTGACTTCATTACCTGTTGGGTAATTTTTCAAAAAGAGAAATGAACTTAGGTCTACAAAAAGGTAAGCAAATACTACGTTGCGAAAAAGCGGTCCATGGGGACACATGGCGCCTGGGAAAAGTGCCTTTAGAGTCATATTTTTGAAGGATTCATGTAGACACTCCATGACTTTCCCCTGTGTTTTCTTTTCTGTGGTCATTAACTTAATCACACAATCAGGAAGAAAGCCCAGTCTTGGCTGAGCTATTGCCCAGGCGATCCAGGTAGGTGTGTTTGTGGCAGACACTTTAGGACAGGGGAGCTATGCCGATCAATCTGCCCGCGAGACCATTTTGGCGGAACGGAGCAGAGGAAAGGTTCCCAGATTTAGTTCTGCCTTGAGCCAAGGCAAACTCTGAAACGCTTTATTTGAATGCCGCATTTTCAAACTTCCGGTGTATCTGAAAACTCTCAGTGCCTGAACGTTCTCAGATGGGAGTTTCTAAGATTCCACAACCCCGCCCATCTGCCGTGCTAGCTGATGTCGCCGACAGCGGCTCTGGCCAGAAATGTCCGCAAGCAGCTGCAAAAGAAACGAGGTCACAGGGTCCTGCTGGTTCAGAGCTGCGCTGGTCTAGTGAAGTCCAGGCAGGTGGACTGAGCACCGGGTGCAAAGACAGCAGGTCCTAAAGATGGGGGGAAAGGAAATCGGTAGTTGCATTAGTATTTGTTGGGCCCTAATCAGGGGCGGAATGCCTGGAATTGACCCACCCAGCGCTTAGGGCCCGCGATCTCCAAGCGTGCTCGCTGAGTGGATGCCGAATCCTTCTGCTTCCTTTGGCGTTTGTAGGCGAGGGGACGCCTACATCTCCTGGAATCGGTCTGCTGGGTGCAGCGTAAGTCATCCGGAGCAAGTGGAGAGGACGCCCGCACGTCTCTGCACCTGCTCATCCGCATTGGAGAGCAGAGGCCAAAACTCGAACTCTCCCCAGGAAAGTTCCCTCGGATGCCCGCCCACTTCTAGGCGCCGATTCCTTCCCAGGCCCAGATTGCCACGTGTTGCGGTCACTAACACGAGAAAGCTAGTTGCGAGCTCAGAGGTGCGCCGCTGTCAGGCTTCCCGGCAGACCAGTATTGGGGGTCCCGGCAGGGTTTGGGGAAGACCTTTTCTCTCAGATTCCTCATTCCCTCCAGCCTCTCCTACCTGGGCTCGAACTGCCATGCGCCTCCCGCTTCCGGTCTTCTATTTTCTCCTCCCCTCAAGTTCCCGCTTTAGACGGCCTAGCAGGGAAATCTTGGACATCCCAGATCAGTCACACCTGAAAAGCCGACCTGGTAGTGCTCTCCACCCCACACCCCCACCCCTATTTTGTGTACCCGACCCCAAGAATGACCCTGCCTGGTCGTTGGGGAGCTTCCCCTCTCTCTTCACGCTCAGTTGGCCAGGACTCCCCCATGCCAACAGGACCGCACCTTCCGTTGGCTTACGTGGGAGGGATGTTCCCTACCTCTGCGGGGACTCAGGGGGCAGGTGTGCTTGGAGAGGCGCAGACGCCCCTTCCAACAGTGGCCGTGAAGTCTCCATTAGGAGCAGGGACTTGGCTCAATGAGGTCCACTGAGGACACATGGAATGCAGGACTGTCACCTCAACAAGGATCGGCCAGAGGTTTTAGATTTTTTTTTTCTCCCTTTGCCCAACCTCATATTCTGGAATTAATTTAGCTTCCTGTTCCCTCCATCCCTTCTCACCTCTTTGTTCTTTTCTGTCTCTTGAGAAGTTTTGGAGACTTGGGGTCATTCCTGGAGTTTTTAGTAGCATATACCCCTTCTGATCCTCTATATCCAGGCAATGACCCAAGCCATGACCTCACCAACCCAGCTGGAGATTCCACTGAACAATTTCCTGGGCAATGTAAACTAATCCACACCCCAGCCAGGGATTTAAAGAGATGAGTCTAGTTCACACTTCCCACAATGCCCCTAACACACACACATGCACAGCGCCATCTCTTGCACTGTTTCTGCTAGGAGAGCGAGCTGGCCTGACTTTTTTTTTTTTTTTAATTTAAGATTTTATTTATTTTTACACAGAAGAACTGGTGTACAGGCAGGGGTGGTGGTGGGAATGTTGTGAGAGGATTCACTTGAGACAGAGTGAGGAGCAGAACAGACAGATCTATTGAAATGCACTGCTGAGGGGAGCAGCAGGCTAGACAGGAGAGGTCTGCTGTGTCTTGTGGGTGGGCTCCCTGGGCAGGGATGGAATTGGTTCTTCAGTGGCTGCAGATAGCTTCATAGTGCTGAGACTTAACCCCTTGCACCACCAGGGACGCCCTGGCTTAGCTTTTGAACTGAAGTGTTTTTGGCCTTGACTGGAAATTTCATTGTCTTCCCCTGATGGTGTTAAATAAAAAAAGACCTCCAAGAGTATATATAGAAAATTTAGCCTCACCATAAGCTGAAGCATGATTTGAATGACAAGCTCTACCTTCTTTACATGTTCCAAATTCATTGAGGTTGACAGGTGGGCCTTGAATTGAGAATACTGAGGCAGAAACATGTATCTTAGCCTGGTGACTTCTGCTTTTCTTACCTTGAATCCATTTTTAGACCTTTTATTTTATTTTAAAGATTTATTTATTTATGCATATAAGAACTGGGGTACAGGCCAGAGGTGACCTTGGGGGGTGAGAGGATTCACCAGAGACAGAGTGGGGAACAGAACAGGCAATGTACTGAAATATACTGCTGAGGGGAGCAGCGGGCGAGTCAGATGAGGTCTGCTGTGCCATGTGAGTTGCTACCTGGCCAGGAATCGAACTCCTGCTGCAGTGACTGCGGACAGCTTCATGGGTTGCGTCTTAACCCCTTGCACCACCAGGGAGGCCCCTCTTAGACCTTTTATAAAAACAGGTGTATTCTCCAGGACTAGTTGATGAAGAAACCGAGGGAAAAGTTCTTTTTAAAAAAATTTTCCTTTTAAAAGTCTCTAGGATTAATTAGAGGCCTGGTAGGGTTGTCCTTCAGGTTATGCTAATTATTATTTACTTATTTCTTTGCAAGCTGTGTGTATGTGTGTGTGTGAGTGTTTCTGTACTGGGATATACATGTATGCATGTTTGCCCTTATGTCATATATATACAGACATATGTGTGTATATTGTACATAACACATGTATAAATTGTATATATGTCTAGTAATATATACGTATATAATATACACATATACTTATATATCCAAATACATATTCATGTTAGTACACACAAACA